AGTCAAAGCAGTCTTTCTTGAAATGTCCTAACTTTTCATAGTGATAACATTTCTTACCGCTTTTATCTTTAGATTTGGATCTCATTTTAGATTTTCCTCTCCCCTTCTTGTTATGGAAGTTAAATTCTTTCTTTTCAGATCTTCCCCTAACAAATAGACTCTCTTCACGAGAATGAATTTTGTTCTCTCTTTTTAATTCAAGTTTTTTGATTTTAAAGCATCAGAAACAATAGCTTGAGTGAGAGTGTCCCTACCATATTTTATGGCATTTTTCATTTCTCTGTAAGATTCGGGCAAAGAGTTTAGTAATATGACAGCTAAATCCTCATCATCAAATGTTTTATCATTATGAGCTAGACTCTTAACAATTATGCTAAAGTCACTCAAATTCCCCTCGACATCCTTCCCCGGGTCCATTTTAAAACTAAACAACTTCTCCAACAGGTATATTTTGTTAGGTAAAGTTTTAGTTAAGAACAGGGCATCTAAAGCAATCCACAAAGCTCTAGCAGTTTTAACACTATCAACTTGTCTCACAATGTTGTCAGATAGATGCAAAATTATATAACTGTAAGCAATTTCATTAATGTCTTCAATTTCAGTTGGTTTAGCTTTTAACTCATCAGAAAATGTAGCGGGATCATCAAGAGCTTTAGCAACTCTCTGTTGGACCAAAATGACCCTCATTTTCTGTTTTCATATCGAGTAATCCCCCTTTCCATCGAATTGCGATAATTTGACCCTCGAACCCATTATAGATTCTATAAAAGAGTGGCCTGTACTCGTGGACACAACAGAAAAGGTTTTGAAAAATTCTTTTCTAGATGATCAATATATAACTGAGTGCCGAGTTAAAAAACAATTTTTAGAAATGAAGCACAACAGTGAAATAATCCATTCATGAAACACAGGTATATAAAGCAGGTAAATATGCTTCCAGGTTACAAATTAATCATAAAAATTCAATCAATAGAATTCACAAATAAGCAACCAAGCAATAACCATGCATAAATCGGTAAGGATATCAAACCTAACCTAACGGAGAGTTTGGAATAATCTTACCAAACTACTGTTGAAAAACAGTAAATATACCACCAAGTTTCTGAACCTAATTGTGGTAGATGTCAAGCCAGGGGCAAAATCGTCCAACTTTTTCTGTAAAACCTGAAACAGAAAACAAACGATATCAGTGCGTTCACGACGTCAAAATAAGTAAACTGCCCGAAAAAAGCTCGCCGGAGGTCCGCCACGCTCCGCCGCCGGTCACGTGACCCACCACAAGGAGCGCCTCAGTCTGCTGGTTATGGGTCCAGGTTCCATTTCGCCAGAAAGTCAATAGTTTGGCCGGAATTCGAATTTTTCAGATTCGGTTAGAAAATGGAGTAGCGATTTCCTTGCCGGTTTTGATCGATTTTTGGACAGATTTCACTCCTCCTAGCTCTGATACCAGTTTCTTGGGGATCCTAGGAGTTCAATCAACCAAAACATCAAACAATAGAAGATATTCTACGGCAAAACAATGAAAAAATGGTGGAAAGAGACAACCTGTCTTTGGCCGAAAATGTCTAGCTTCTGCTTCCTCCTTTCAGCAGCTTCTTTTCCTCCTTATGGCTGATTTTACAGGCTCAGGAACGGCCCTCCATGACTTGCAAATCACCTTTCAAGAGAGAGAGAGAGAAAAATCGGCAAAGAACCCACACCTTCAAGCTAAAACCGAGAGACCATCGTGAAAGGAGAGGGAGTCGACTTAAGAAGGGAAGAAAAGGAAAGACCCATCCCTCTGCCAAAAACGTGGGAGGCCTTATTGTGTCACCATCAATACCATCAAGTCAAAAACATCTCCCCCAAGATTAAATCCCGACCGTCGATCTTCATCCAGTGGTCCACAAAAATCTGAATAAATGGAGTTAAGATAACCATATTCTCACATCAATGCTTAGCAGAAGAGTGATACAATCTTGAAAGATCAATTGGATATAGATTTGTCAGACTTTGAAATTCAAATTGAAGCTAATATTGTTAAACCTCAAATAATTGAAACTGAGAAAATTGAAGGTGTCGATGATTTTAATTCAAGTACACAGGCTACTCTTACGTTGTTGGATAGTGAAACCTGGTCTAAAATTGATTCTCTAAGGAAAGGTCTTGATGGTACAAGTCGTGGGGTCGACACAGTTGAGTTGATTGTTATTTTGCTTTTGTAGATCTTCAATGGGATTCTAAATAGGTTTTCTTTGGTGTTTTAGGTCAACATGGTGGAGAAGGACCTGCAGAATTTGTAGCAAAGTATTTAGGCATGAACAGGGATGGATCCAAGAATTTTTAGCGCACGGGCTAAAATTTAAAAGTCAATATAATAAATTTATATATTACATTAAAATCAAATTTATTTAATTTGAAGTTGTTCCCAACGAGGTTTTGAAATATAAAATTCGTCTATAACAGAATCTATATCTATCTTTTGAGCAAGTTCTCGTTCGATGAAGAATATCATACAATCAACAAGAAAGTTATCGTCCATTTTGTTACGAAGTTCCGTCTTCACATGTTTCATTGCTGAAAATGCTCGCTTAGTAGTCGCGGTAGAAACAGGTAAAGTCAGCAAAGACGAATTAGTCTAGTAACCATAATATAAGTCTCCAACCTTCTACTCTCATGTAACTGTCGACATAACTCAACGAGTGTGGATACTTGAAATCGAGATTCAGCCTTCATATCTAACTCATAACGTCACAATTCATATTCCAAAGTACGAATATCTTGCTAAGTAAAATCTGCAGGATAGAATTTCTCAACAAGTGTACAAATGTCATGACTGTTAAATTTTCTCAACAAGTGTACAAATGTCATGACTGTTAAATGATTCAAATGAATTTCTAGGATCCAAAGATGCATTGAGTGTGAGAAGTTCAACTGATGTATCATTAAATCTTGTATTTAATTCCATCAGTACGTAATCTATTGCTTCATTGAAAACATCAAAGTGATAACGATGCTCCATTGTAATTGGATCGCGAGAACGACAAGGACCAATTTTACACAAACTTTCTAGGTCGGGTATCTCAATATCATGTTTTGCACAAAACTTTTTCACTTCCCCAAGAAATTGTTCCCAATCATCATCTCTCAATTTGTTAAGGAGTTTTGTTGTAGTAGAAACAAATCTCATAGCAGTCAAGATGTCTTGCGATTTTCTTTGAAGAGTCTGACAAAGAACATCGGTTATTCTCATGATGGTATGCATTAAATGCAAAATGAACACAAAATCAAAACTTTTCATATGTTTGTAAGTGCTACGAATTTCGCCCCGAGATCTTCCATTTGGACAATGAACACTAAGATCTTCAAATACCTTGCAAGTTGCATTATACATATCTATCAAGCTCTTTATAGAGTCATAATGAGAACTCCAACGAATTACTTCTGATCGTTGTAAATTACCCACTTGATTTACTCCACTTCCTGACTCACGCTCCCCAGTAGCTAACATATGCTCAATTTCATTCATTTGAGCAGATTATAACTCCGTAATGCGTTTAGGGGAAGAAGTGATAATGTTGATAATATTGTCTAGATAAGAAAAGAACTCCCAAATAACATCAACTTCTTTAGCTGCATAAACCAATACCAACTGTATTGATGAGCAAAACAGTGGACATAATAAGCATATGGACAATCTCTAAGAAATAATGTCTGAAGTCCATTCCAAGTGCACCGCATATTACTAGCACCATCATATCTTTGACCTCTCATTTTTGCCATTTGAAGTTCATGTTGAGCAAAAACATTTGAAATCCCATTTTTAAGACTAGATGCTGTAGTGTCACTGACGCTTTTAATGTCAAAATAGCGTTCCGTCAAAATACCCTGACCATTCACCAATCTCAAAACAATGGCCATTTGTTCTCTCTTAGATATATCTTATGCTTCATCAACAAGAATACAAAAGTATCCATCCCCAATTTCTGCATGAATCATCCTTCTTACTCTATTTGCCATTATGTGTAAGATTTCTTTTTGAATACTTGAAGCAATGTCTTGGGCATTTTTTGGAGCATTTTTCATCACAACTTTATCAATTTCTGTATTCGTTTCTGCCAAAATTTTTATCATTTCAAGAAAATTTCCATGATTCAATGAAGATTCAGATTCATCATGACCTCTGAAGGAACGCCTTTGAAATGCTAGCCATCGAGCACTTCGAATTGAACTCTTTAAACGTAAACAACGTTTCTCAACTTCTTCATTCGATATGGTATGCATCACTTTATCAATATGTTGAGACGGTTTCATTAAATTTTCAGCTCTTCTCTCACAAATATTATGATCCAATGATCGCAAATGAGTAAGAAACATGCATTTTGATCCGTCATTAAGCCTTTTCCATTGGTTATATCCAGAAATTACCAATGCCGAACAATTAGACGAATTACCATCATTCCGAAAAAGATAACAATAGAAACAATATGCCCTATTTGTCATAGGTGAATACTCTAACCACAAAAACTGGTTGAACCATTTTGCCTGAAAAGCGACAAGACTGAGATTTTCCCTGTGTCTTAGGATACTCAGCAAGTTTTGGTTGATAAGGCCCAGCCTTTAGATATGCCACTCTAATCTCATCCCACAGATTAAAAGGAAATTCAAGTATCTGCTTCCTTTTCCCCGGTTCTCTTTCAATGTCAATATTTGATGATGAATGATGTTAGACTTCTGGACGAACTGAAGGTTGATCTTCAGTTAGTCCATCAAAAGTTTTATTTTCAGTAGGTCGACTTGCCCTTTGGAAGAACGAAAACAAGTTCTTATTCTTCTTGAGAGGAGGTTGACCTTCCATTTTCAATTTCTTAAAATTGCAAAAAAATAAAAAATAAAAAAATCAATCATCAATGATATCACTCTAACGATAATTAAAAAAACTAATTCATTAAGTTAACAAGGTAACAACAACAATTATTAAGCTGACAAGGCAATAACAACAATTATTAAGCTAACAAGGCAATAACAACAATCATTAAGCTGACAAGGCCACATCCACATGTCATCAATAAGTTATTAAGCCGGCAAGGCCACATCAACATGTCAACAATAAGTTATTAAGCCGATAAGGCGACATTTGAACAATAATTAAATAATTACTTCAATATTTTGCCGGCAAGACCGCAAGTAGAGAGATGGGGACATTTACCTACTAGGGACTATTGACTAGGAAGTATATCAAGCTTTTGCAATTTGCTTTTCCTACATGTCGGCGGCCTGCGGGAATCAAAAATATACTGCATTTTTTAAATTGAAAAATAATTCAATCAAAATTTAAGCATGTTAACAATAAAAGAATAATTATGCATTATAATTTAGCATGGACTTCCACAGTTACTTACTCAAAGCAGAAAATTTAATATCAAATTATCAATATAATACTCAAAACAGAAAATTTAAAAATGCTCAATTAATTAAAAAAAAAATTATCGGGTAATTTCAACAAGCTGCAAACAAAAAGTTAAAAACTATGATTTTTTAAAAACTCATACTCAATAAATATCAATATTAACATATGAGTCGACAAAATATATATAAAAAAGGTCCAATTTATAAAGTCGAAGAAACTATAGACTACAATTGAATTTCTACACTTCAAAACGGGGCACACAACACTTACCAATTCAAAAGCCGTTGTCTTTGTTTGTCCGATTGTCCCTCACTCCTGCTAACATATGGGTCCCTTAATTTTCTATAAATTTTGTCGTGTCGGAGAAATGGAGACAGAGGAATCGCCTTTTCCCTTTTGCCCTTTTCTCGTTTTCGTTTGAATGGTAGACCACTGGATCTGGCGAATTGGTAATATGAAATGGAAGAATTTAGGGGAGTGTATTCAATTGAAATTTTTAATGACTTTTTGATATTTAAAAAGTTCAGTGGTATTCAATTGAGACTTTTTGAAACTCTCTAAAAGTCACAATGTATTCAATTGAAACTTTTAAAAACTTTTAAAAAGTCTCTAAAAGTTACGGTATATTCAATTAAAACTTTTTAGAAGTCTCTATAAGTTTTAAGGAATTCAAATTCTAATGACTTGTAGAAACTTTTATAAAAATCTCTAGAATACTAACTTTTAAGCAGAAAGTACTCATGTAAAATTTTAAAATTTGTCTCTCATTAATCATGAGATTTTGGGAGACTTTCATAAAAAATAAAAAATAAAAATTTCTCTCCTTTAACATTCTATGGACATGTATGATTAAAATTTATTTTTTTAATTGATTATATTTCATTTATCTTTCTCTCTCTCTCTCTTATTATTTATCTCTATTTTCTATGAAAAATTAAATTAGATTTTTGAAACTTTTTTTTATTTTTTCATTCATTTTTTTGTGTGAAAAATATCTATTTTTAATTAAATTATAAAAGTTTATATTAAAAATTATAATTAAATTTAAATATATTGATTTTTATTTATTTTTAAAAGTTACTATACAAATAATATTGAATCATATATAATTTTGATTATTATTTATTTAATTAAGGTCTTAAATTTATTTATTTTTCAATTTTTTTTATTATATGGGAAGAAGAATGGGAATTGTGGGAACTAACATCCTATATGTGAGAATTTCATATCAGATTTATGTGAATTCTATTTCAAATGAAAGTTTTGAAAAAAATTTTGAATTTCACTAAAGTCTATAAAAGTTTTAAAATGAAAATCTATAGAAGTCTACGAAAAATTTCTACTAATTCCATACAAATCTATAAAAGATCCACGAAATTCATAAAAGTCATCACTTAAAAAATGTCCATCAAAATCTACAAAAATCCCAATTGAATACACCCCCCTTAATTTGGGTTAGAATTTAGAATTAAGTTTAAATGAATGGCGGACTTTGTGGTATGTTTGGGCCAATGGGCCATTTACTTATTATGTTAAATTAGGCTTACACATTTTTTTTTCTTTCGACACGGGCTGGTCACTCAATTTATGTGGGCTGAAAAAACTAAAAAAATAAAGAAGAAGACTTATTGGATTTGGGCACGGGTGAGCACGGGCTGTAGCACGATCCAGCCCATGCCTGGATCCGCCTCTGGGCATGAACATTACGAACAAGGTGTTTAAGAGAAACCAATAAGATGAGATGAATGAGGCATGTACCACTTATGAATAGATTGGTGCAACCCGCTCAAGCAATTCCGGTTGTTTCTTCAACAGTATCACAGAGTTCTCAGCTATTGCCACTACCAACTCACTCCACCACGTTCTCTAATCGTATGGGCCTTGATAATCATCATCCTCGACTGCCATCATTGAGTCCTAAAATGGAGAAGGTATCACTTCAATAATTCATGTCCCACTCTGTAAACCTTGAGGACAAGGCGTGTTGGTTGTGATGAGTTGGCAAGCATAGGTGAGAGCCATCACAAAATGATGGATTTTGATTATTCATGGTTCCTGTTGGAAAATCCACGCGAGGTTTCGAGATTTTTATAGCAAAATCCATTTATTGAATACTGGATTACTGGTTTCGCAATTTCTAGAATTTCTCATATTTCTTAAAAGCAAATGCTTATTTATGCCATTTGAAGTGATAATTTAACATTTGGAGACATTGGATTATTGATTTCATCATATATTGGTTCATATTTGATATGTTTTCACCTACCTTTCTCCGTTACTTGAGGCTCATTTCATTAAACCCATACTTGACCCCCATTTCAATAAAATTCATTTTTTTCTTTCTTATCAACTACACATTTTCAAAAAAATAATATTTCTAAACTCAAAAACTTTACCATCATTTTCAATCCCCACATTCTTAAAAGAAATTACTATTCCTTTAATTATAATTTGAAATAATGGATCCTAAACAAGGTAAGCGTTCAAAAGGATATATAAAGATCAAATTTTGTTACAAAATCTTGGCTTTTCTTGAATATATTTGTACCAAGCGGGCTCTTGACTGGGGACCTGATGGAGGACCAGATTTGATTATGGATGATAGTGGCGATGCTACGATTGAGTAGGAATTCGAGAAGATTGAAAATTTTTCAAATGGAGTTCAACTGATAATGAAATTTCACTATGGGTTTTGACGGTGGTGATGAGATCCAAATTTTTGCTTTGTTTTGTGATTTGAGTTTGAAGGTGGTGATGGCAGATGAAGATAAAGGTGGAGGGTGGCCGTTTTCACTGGGTTCGGTTTTTGGAGATGAATGGATGCGGCTTGGGTTTAGGGAAGAAAAAGATTGAATTTTTTTTTCCTTTTATTTTTTAATTTTAATTATTTTTATATGGAATAATATAAAGTTGTCATTTTATACTTTTAAATTTGATCAAATTGTTGACTTTTGGTTAACTGACTGTCAAATGGACGGATTCCGTCCGCATGCCCTCCAATTGCAATTGAGATATAAGAATTTAAATATGAAAGTTAGAGAAGAAAGAAAATGATATATGAACTTGGGAATTCTCCATTGTAATCATCAGAATCGAATGAATAAAAATATACAAACGAACCAGCCTATTTATATACAGCCTATGACCATGACAGAAGGAATATTCACCTTTCTATACATAACAAACTCAACCAATAGAAAATTGACAAATACAAAACTGATTAACAAGAAGCTAACAGAAAAAAAAAATAAATAAAATTCCCAAAATAGCCTTTATAATGTAAGCTGAGTCAGGGATCTACGTGAAATCCAACACCCCCCCGCAAGATGGATAATAGATATTAACTATTCCCATCTTGGAGAGGAGAGTAGTAAGAACAGAAGAAGAGAGAGCCTTAGTGAAGATGTCGGCCAGTTGTGAATGAGTTGGTACATGAGCTGTGATGATACTACCTTCCTGAATTTTGTCTCTAATGAGATGGCAATCAACCTCTATATGTTTAGTACGTTCGTGGAATACTGGATTGGCAGCAATATGCAGAGCTGCTTGATTGTCGCAGTGAAGAATTGCAGCAGACAAATGAGAAATGTGCAGATCCTTTAACAATTGTTTAATCCAAGTAAACTCAGAAACAGTTGTTGCCATTGCCCGATACTCCGCTTCTGCAGATGAGCGAGAAACAATTGATTGTTTCTTGGATTTCCAAGATATAAGAGAGTTGCCCAAGAAAATGCAGAAGCCTGTGATAGAGCGTCGAGTGTCTGGACATGAAGCCCAATCAGAATCACAGTAGCCGTTTAATTGCAAAGGGGATGAAGAAGAAAGTAAAATACCCTGGCCAGGACTACCTTTTAGATATTTCAGTACTTTGTGGGCAGCTTGTAGGTGAAGATCAGTTGGCTTAGATATGAACTGACTGAGTACTTGCACCGAATAGCTAATGTCAGGTCTTGTAATAGTTAAATACAATAACCTTCCTACAAGTCTTCTATAAATGCTTGGATCAGAAAGAATACACCCTGATTCTTTGCTAAGCTTGATATTTTGGTCCATGGGAAGTTTAGCTGGCTTGGAACCAAGGGTACCTGAATCTGCTAGTATGTCAAGTGTATACTTCCGTTGACATAAATGAATCCCTTTTATGGATCTTGCCACTTCAATACCAAGGAAATAACGAAGGGCACCAAGATCCTTAATCTTAAACTCAGTATTCAAGAACACTTTGAGAGAATTAATACAATCAATGGAGTTACTAGCAACCACAATATCATCCACATAAACCAATAAGGCAGTAAAAACATCTTCTTTGATCATAGTGAATAAGCTATAATCTGATTTGGACTGTTGAAAACCAAAGTGTATAAGTGAGTCTGAAAATTTGGAGTACCATTGGCGAGATGCCTGCTTAAGGCCATATAAGCTTTTGAGTAGTTTGCACACTTGTTCGGGTTTTCCTTTGTTATAACCAGGGGGTTTACACATATAAATTTCCTCTTCTAGCTCCCCATGAAGGAAAGCGTTATTAACATCAAATTGTTGCAAATGCCAGCCATGTATGGCAGCAAGTGCAAGGAGACAACGAACTGTGACCATTTTGGCTACTGGAGAAAAAGTTTCGTGATAGTCAATCCCTTCTTGTTGTGTATAGCCCTTGGCCACTAATCTGGCCTTTAACCTTTCAACCGTCCCATCTGAATTAAATTTGGTCTTGTAAACATACTTACACTTTATTGGTTCCTTACCAGGTGGCAGATCAGTTAATTCCCAAGTCTGATTGAGTTCAAGAGCATCCAATTCAGCCTTCATAGCCTCACACCAACCCGGATCCTTAACAGCTTGATGATATGTTTGAGGATCAATTTGAGAGCAAATAGAAGTTGAAAAAGCAGCATAATTACGAGATAAACGATGATATGATAAGGAATTGGTTAAAGGAAAATTTGTACCTGTATTGGAAGACAATTGCCTGGTCAATGATTGGTCTGGAGAAGTGAAGTGCACTTGTTGACAATGAAAGTCCTGCAGGTACTGTGGTGCTCTTCTAACTCTTGTTGACTTGCGGATAGGTGATTGTTCTTGGGTGATTTCTTCTGTAGTATGAGGTAAATCAGAAGTAGGAGAGGAAGCAACTACCTCAGAAGTCTGAACAGGGCTATTAATGAAGACAGGAGTAGAAGGAGGATCTAAAGGTGTTAAGTTTGAAGATTGAGAAGGAGAAAAATCTGAATTAATCTGCTCAACATTAGAAGGAAATGGTTGAGGAGAAAGTTGACAGAAATTATTGTTGTTAGTAGTTTCTGGCGGCAGGTTGTCAAGTGTGATGGTGTGGAAGGGGAAGACTATTTCATGAAAAACAACATCTCGTGAGATGAAAAAGGTCTTGGTATCAAGGTCAAACAACTTGTATCCCTTAACACCAAAAGGATAGCCAAGAAAGACGGATTTTCTAGCTCGGGAATCAAATTTAGTTCTGCCTTGTGAAATAGTTGAAGCAAAACACAAGCAACCAAATACTTTCATGTGACCATAGGTTGGTTTTCTATTGAAAAGTAACTCAAAGGGGGTTTTATTTGACAGCACAGGAGAAGGGATTCTATTGATAATGTAAGCAGCAGTTAAAATGCATTCATTCCAAAACTTCATAGGAAGTGAAGCTTGGAACCTAAGTGCTCTCGCAATGTTTAAAAGGTGCTGGTGCTTACGTTCAACAATAGCATTTTGCTGTGGTGTTTCCACACAGCTAGTTTGATGCAAAATACCCCTTTTACAAAAGAAATCTGTCATTTTAAACTCTGCCCCATTATCACTTCTTAAGATTTTGATTTTGACATCAAACTGGTTCTCAACAAGGTTACAAAAAGTCTCTATGCAGTGGCGAGTTTCAGATTTTGTTTTTAGTAAATAGACCCAAGTACTTCGAGAGAAATGATCCACAATAGTAAGAAAGTACTTGGATCCATCATGTGCAGGAACAGAACAAGGCCCCCATATATCACAAGAAATAAGTTGAAAAATTCTGGTGCTCATATGTGTGCTAGTAGGAAAAGGAAGGCGATGTTGTTTAGCCATGGGACAAATGCAGCAAGGATTTTCATTAATGTCAGCAATTTCAGTACTTACAACAGGATCATCGATCAAAGATATCCTAGACAAAGGTGTATGGCCAAGTCTATAATGCCAAAGATCTATGGAAGAACTATTGTCAAGTACAGAAGTGGAAACAAAGATATTTTTATTTAAATACTTAGAAAGGTTGTCAACAAGAGCTTCAGGAGACACTTTAGCATGCTGCAATTGATAGAGTCCATTCTTCACTTCATTTTCATTAATGTCAGTAATTTCAGTACTTACAACAGGATCATCGATCAAAGATATCCTAGACAAAGGTGTATGGCCAAGTCTATAATGCCAAAGATCTATGGAAGAACTATTGTCAAGTACAGAAGTGGAAACAAAGATATTTTTATTTAAATACTTAGAAAAGTTGTCAACAAGAGCTTCAGGAGACACTTTAGCATGCTGCAATTGATAGAGTCCATTCTTCACTTCACCCTTCCCAATCGTTGTCCAAGACAAAAGGTCCTGGAGGAAACAGCAATCAGAAAAAAAAAATAAGGCAGCAAGTAAGTGAGTGGGCAAGTCTTTTAGCAGAAATCAAGTTAAATGTAAAAGACGGGACACATAAAACATTTTCTAGAACGAGTTTTCCAGTGATATGAACTGTTCCTACGTGTGTGACAAGTGCTTCATCACCATTTGGCATCTTGACAGAATAAGATACTTCTGAATTGATGGTAGTAAACAGGGAGATGCTGCAGACCATGTGGTCTGTAGCACCTGTGTCGATAATCCAAGGTGTTTCGGCAGAGAATAAAAGTCTTTCAGAAGAAGTGGAACAAGAGATAGATATACCAGACATGGTAGGGGCCTTTGCTGCATTAGCTACAGGATGAGAAGCTGTCTTGGATGGATTGGTGGACATAGAAGGCATTATTGGACTGTCCTTTTGCTGCAACAGAGAAAGCAATTGTTGATACTGTCCCTTTGTAAGACCAACTTTTGAATCTGAATCATCCTCTTGATCTGCAATGACAGCATTAGCAAAAAGTCTGGGAGATTTTCCCTTGTTGAAGTACTTATGCCCAGGTGGATACCCATGAAGTTTGTAGCACTTCCCAACTACATGACCACTCATATGGCAATGAGTACAGATTGGTGGCTCGGCATTCCCTGCTTTAAAACATGCCTCTAGATCATGCCCTGGTGCATGACAGTGAGTACAATAAGGACGGTCACGGTTGTTGGGTTGGCCAGTCTTAACACTTGGTTTAGGAATGGGATGAAACTTCCTACTAGCTAAGCCCATCATATTAGGTGATGGTAGGTTGTTAAGCATCAGGTGCTGCATTTCTTGTTGCTGGATCATGGATAAAATTTTCCCAATTGAGGGTAAAGGATCAAGGAGCATAATCTGGTCTCGTGAGTTCGTGTATGAATCATTTAAACCCATCAAGAACTGTATCACACAATCCCTTTGGTATCTGTTAGAAAGTGTAGTTAACTTTCCACAGGTGCAGTCAGGCAAAGGGTCGAACATATTGAGCTCATCCCAAATTGATTTCAACTTCCCATAATAAACACTTACTGAATCTTGCTCCTGTTGCAAACTTGCAAGGGCTTTCTTGAGCTGGAAGATTCGTGGACCATTTTGCTGAGTAAACCGCTCCTTCAGTTCATCCCACAGCTCAGCAGCATCATCCACAAGAGCTATGCTAGACTTGATTGATGGGGAGATGGAATTCTGCACCCAGGAGGTCACAAGGTCATTACAACGTTCCCAGGCCTCAAACAAAGGGTCGTCTGAACTAGTTGGCTTGGTGATAGCACCACTGATGAAGCCTAATTTGTTCTTGGCTCTAAGGGCTCTACGCATTGCCCTAGACCAAGTAGTGTAATTGTCAACTGTAAGAAGTTCAGGAACAAGAGAGATCGATGGATTATCACCATGGTCAAGACGGTAAGGATTGGTGACATCGGTGAAATTGAGGAAGGGGTTAGAAATTTTGGATGGAGAAGCAGGGGAAGAATCTGTGGAAGGAATTTCTGTAGTCATGGTTGATTTGGTTCACCTGCTCTGATACCATATAAGAATTTAAATATGAAAGTTAGAGAAGAAAGAAAATGATATATGAACTTGGGAATTCTCCATTGTAATCATCAGAATCGAATGAATAAAAATATACAAACGAACCAGCCTATTTATATACAGCCTATGACCATGACAGAAGGAATATTCACCTTTCTATACATAACAAACTCAACCAATAGAAAATTGACAAATACAAAACTGATTAACAAGAAGCTAACAGAAAAAAAAAATAAATAAAATTCCCAAAATAGCCTTTATAATGTAAGCTGAGTCAGGGATCTACGTGAAATCCAACATGAGATGAAAGGTTTTGGACCCCAACTACAAAAATAAAGGGTTCGAATATGTGGGTTGTTTGAGCCCCATTTTTCTAAAAGAATGTATTTTGAAATAGTGTTGTGATGAAGAATGTGTGGTTAAAAGAAAAAGAAAAGTATTGAATTTACGTGTAATATTATTTTATTGAAAAATGTATGATTGAAATGATATCAAATTACAGTTGAAGAATCTATTTTGAAGAAAAAATGGGGATCAAACAAGGGCATAGTCTGCAATAATTTGAAAGACCAACCAACAATTCTTCCTTTTTTTATTCATGTTATATTTTTTGTAAGTATTAATTCTCCTTTTAGGTATTGAGTTAATTATGGACCATGAACTTTCGATTTCATCGAGTTAGATTAGGCAAAAGTATAAGCCCCCAACAAATACTATAATTTCCGTCTCTATGTTAGAACTGCGTGCTTGATTTTTTGACTCTCACATTTTTTTTCTTGTGAAAGTGTAATAGCATTTTCATTCGTGGTGTAAAATATATTGAAATTGTGATTTAGATATTCAAAGTGATCGAAAATCTTATCAATTGAGAGATACAAAGAAAATGTAAGTTGTATTTTTTGATAGAAAATATATTAAAAAATATATATAAATTTACATTTTTTTCAATATACAAGAGACAAAAAGTGAATTTAGATAATTTTTATTAGAGCAAAATTTGAATTTATATCCGTCAAAATATAGATGAGGATAGAGATGATTTTGAAAATATCAATTTACAACCAATCTTACAACATCATTGAAGATGGTCTAAAGATGTATATTGGACCACAAAACAATTTTCTGACCTAATTTTGAGTTGCAAGCTTGTAATTTTAGGGGGCTATCGTTTATTTCTCTGATTTTCAGGGGAAAAAAGGAAAAAAATAATAATAAAATTGCATTTCTATAATTTCTTTAAGTTCAAGCTCTGGTTTCAAATCATGAGTTTAGATGTAAAAGTACGCACCGCACATAATTTGAACCGGAAGACGAGAGTATAAAGTGGGTGAAGGGGGTTCCCAAAAATTTCCCATCTATCTGTTTAGCGCGCTCAAACAAATGTCGACCTCAATTTCCATTTCTCCATGCTCGTTGCTCTTTCATCCACCTTCCTCGCAAGAACAAAGTAATTAACTCACCCTCTAATTATGCATATGTATACACACAATAAATTTACTCGTGCAGTACGCGGGACAAATGCATGTGCACTTTATTTAATTTGAATTATATGAAAACAAAATTCAGTTTAAATGGGAATTTGGATTTGTGAAGACATGGAATTGGAATTGGGTTCTCATTCTCATGTTTGGAATCTTTAGAATTTTCGAAGTGAAGGGGAATCGAATGGTCACTGTTCATGCCTTTAATTCACACTGGTATTTAACTGCACAGATGATTTTGTAAGTTAATTTTAGTTATAATTGTCTAACGCTTCTCTCCATTCAAGTTTATGCTGGACTAATCTTCTATTAATTTGGTTTGTTGGGAATAAGGTTAGCTTCCTTTTGTTTTCATTGATAAGGAAACAGTTGACTGTATTCGGTACTCCTAATATGCATAAGATATTTGGATTTGGTTTGTACATGGAAAAAATTGGTAGACCTGACTTTTTGTTTTTCTTTTTTCTTCACTATCACATGTCAGGATATTATAATTCGAGAAACCCTATTTTCAAAGTTTTAGTGTATAAAGTTATTGGTAAACCGAATCAAAGAATGAAGGCTTTGCAGAACAATATAGTTAGAGCAGAGGTTGATCTTGAAGTTGGGAAGAAACTGTATCTTGGCATGGACTTTGGTACTTCTGGAGCTCGGTATGCTCTGATAGACAAGGAAGGGAATGTACGTGCTGAAGGAAAGAGAGAGTACCCTTTGCTTATGGTATTTTTTCTGTCACCGACGCTCTCTAGAGTTTCAAAATGACTATTGTTGTGATTCTTTTAATTGCTTGACATTCTTATCCTTATTGATAATGTTTGTCATGTTCTACTTGCTTTGCTTGGTAAACCAATTACACATATGCTCTGTCTCTTAGATGAACTGACAAGCTCGTTTATGTTCTCTAGAAAGATCGAAGAAACAGTAGATTGGTTGCAATCCTGGAAAATGACGCTATTTGCACTTCTTAAAGATATTCCAGTTGGTCTTCGCTCAACGGTTGTGTCCATTTCAATTGATGGAACTTCTGCAACCACTATCATTTTAGATAGGTTGGAACTTTAACCTTTGCAAATCCGTATTGACCCTGTTTCTAGTTAAATTTACTACTTCCCCATTTAGCTTAACATAAAAAATTGTTCCCCAATGCAGCAAAACGGGTGAATCCTTATGTAAACCTTTTCTATATAATGAAAGTTGTGCCGATGCTTTGCCATCAGTGAAGTCGATTGCTCCTGCTAACCACACTGTTTGCTCTGGATCTTCTACACTTTGTAAACTTGTTTCTTGGTGGAACTCTGACAATTCAACTAAGGAATCAACAGTATTGTTGCATCAAGCTGACTGGTTATTGTGGCTGCTTCATGGCAAGCTTGGAGTGTCCGATTATAATAATGCTTTGAAGGCATCCCTTACTTAACACTGCCATTTTTTACTTTTCTTTCCTTATCTCACGCCGATTAGTATTCATGTGTCTAAGGACACTCAACTGACCAATTATGATGTGACAGGTTGGCTATGATCCTGAAATTGAGTCTTATCCTCCTTGGCTGCTATTGCAACCGTATTCACGAGTTTTACCTTCTATACAACCTCCGGGAACTGCTATTGGTGCCTTGAAAGAAAGCATCAGAACAGAGTATGGTACGTTTTTTTCTATTTGATTTGTGGCATTTAAAATAATATTTAAGTCCATGAATTTATTTTTAAAGTTGTCCTTTTCTTTGTACACTCAGCATTGATGTTTAACTTTACCACATTTCCAATTTCACACTGTATTTATATTATAGACAATTAAACTTACATATAATATCTATTTACACTATAAGTTGTCATTTGATAAATCTGTTAAGTTAAATATTCCTAAAAGAGATTTGGAAATTCTCATGGCACATCGTTGTGCAAGCGAAGCAGGCCACAAAACTGAACTTTTGAAGGATGTTTTGTATTATATATAATATACTTGCTTTATCCTCAGAATAGTATTTCACACCTAAAATTATACAGTTAGATTGTGCTTTTTCCAAAACCGAGTATTTACCTTTCTCGTCAAAAGATGTCCACACAATACCTTTCACATAACATGGGCTGAAATCAGTATATAAATTTGTAACTTGAACCTTTTCTTCCTGAACTTCAAATGCAATGCTTTTGGGCTTGAAACTCTATGTAAATCTTATTGGTAGGTTTCCCAAAGGATTGTATTATCTGCTCAGGAACCACTGATAGTGTAGCAGCCTTTCTTGCAGCACGTGCTAGTCAACCTGGAAAAGCTGTGAGATTTTTAGCCCCTTTTCACTGTTATATTATAGTTTTGGTGCATTTTATTTAGGTTTCTAGACCCATTTTTTCTTGCTTAACGATCAGGGTCAAGTTAAATATCTGGTAGATTAATCATTGAGTTGAATGATTTCTTCTCGTAGCTGTCTTTGGTTCATCTTATCCCCTAATATCAACATCGTAATATGATCTGATTATAAGCATTCTCAGATGGAGCACTAGTTTCTTTTGTAATGTACCTCTGTTTCCTACCTCTTCACATAATTTTTGATGCTCGCGATCAGGTCACATCTCTGGGATCGACTCTGGCTATAAAACTATTAAGCACCAGAAGAGTAGAAGATGCACGTTTTGGAGTGTACAGCCACCGCCTTGATGATAAATGGCTTGTTGGGGGTGCTTCAAACACAGGTGGAGCTGTTCTCAGGCAAATCTTCACAGATGAGCAGCTAGAGAAATTAAGTGAACAGATAAATCCTGCAGAAGCCTCTCCTTTTGATTATTATCCTCTGCAAGGTGTTGGAGAAAGATTTCCTGTAGCAGACCCTAAAATGGAACCAAGGTAGTTTTACTTCACTTTTCATTCTATTTTTAAGGGTAAACCAGGATTTATTGATAACCCAAGAGTTAAAAGTAGGATGATCGCTGTATGGGGGACAGGGCTTTTCCTCAGGCTCAGTCTCTCATTCCTCTTTAAACAATAAAGAGAGACTGAACTTTATACTATACAATTTATAGTGAGAAATTCGTAAATCAACTGAAGTCATTGGCTTCAAAATCAAGTTTGGCTCAACGAGTATTCAAAACTTCATAACATCATAAGAGTCTCAAAGATAACCCCACACTGAAAAGACCTTAAAAATAAATTTTTGCTTCTACCCCAGCTCGTTCCAGAATTTATTGTACGGTGAAAGGAAAGCCAGATCTAATGAGAATATATGCTCGTGTGCTAAACAGAATAAATACTAGGGTTGTAAATGTTAAAATCTTGAAATTAAGGATCATTATTTTAATTGTGTTTATGTGATTCTGGATCTAGGCTAGCTCCTTGGACAAAAAGGCAAACAAACAAGCAAATTTAGAATATGAATCTTTCCCACTCGAACCATTTGATATAAAAGTTTAAGCTATTATAGAGGGTCAAATGTATATCCCATTTAAATCTTATCCTAATATTATTAGTTTCCCCTAGTACCGTGAATGTAATAATTCTACGAAACACTTTATTTAGATCTTTATAAAGCACTTTATTTTGGAAAATAATTAAAACTTTAGGTCCAATGTAAAGGTAGAATATTTGGTACCTCGTTTTCTTGCATGGCTTGTCTGTGTTTTGCGAGTAATAGCATTTTTCCTCCTTCAGAATCACATTCTTGGTATTTCTTCTTCGCTTTATTGCAATTTTCAGGTTGCATCCTCGCCCAGCTAGTGATGTTGAGTACTTGCATGGTATTCTAGAATCCATTGCTCGTATCGAGGTGAAAACAAGTCGACTTCTTATTTTTCTCTCCAGGTTTCATACAATAGCAACGAGCTTATCAAATATCTGGTTTTCATGTCACTTAGGCAAAGGGTTACAGCTTACTGAAGGATTTAGGATCTACACCAGTTGAAGAAGTTTTCACAGCTGGTGGCGGGTCGAAAAATGAGAAATGGATCAAGATCCGAGAGAGAGTGCTGGGTCTGCCTGTGAGCAAAGCACTTCAAACAGAAGCTGCCTATGGAGCTGCATTATTAGCAATGAAGGGTGCGTCAGAGCACAAAGATGGCTCTCTTTGAAATCATGTTCACAATAAATATTCAAATTTTTCTTGGAAAACTGTAGTTATTAAATAATGTAACAATACGTATTAACTAATTGGTGTACTATTATTTTTTAGATATGGTGCATGTGACGCACAATTTGTAGAATATTGGACCAGTATTGCTCTCAATATTTTCATTTCTATTTTTCAAAACAATACGATACGAAAGGAGAAGGAAGTATAAAATTAAATTAGGGGTGTTCCGAGAATCGAACTCGGGACCTCTCGCACCCGAAGCGAGAATCATACCACTAGACCAAACACCCGCTATTGATTTTTTTTCTCAAAAGTTATATTAATATAATTTTATCTCTTTTTCACAGTATTTGATTGCAGCCTGAGAAAAGCAGGCATATTCAACCAGAAATGGCGACGCTATCTTCCTCCTCCGCTTCCCACCTACGCTGCCGTTTCATCCTCCGGCCTATTCTTCCCTATTTCCATTTTTCATTAAAAATCGAAACCAAACAGTCCCTTATTCTTCCCCTCCAAACGTCGTCGTCTTTTCCCACCCGAAATCCCGCCGCCTGTCCTCCCATCTCCACGCGCCGCCTCTCCTTCTCTTCAACTCCTCTGTTGCACGAGCTCGCCAACGACGGCATTGTTTTCCAAAACGAACAAGACGAATTTGATGAGGATGGAAAAAATGTATCGAAGAAAGATACTGTGAATATTTCTGTTAAAGACGGCTTAACGAGGGTGTTGGATTTGAGTGCTCAGCGTATAAAGTCATCTAGTTCGAAGTTACCAATTCTTGCTGTCAAAGAGAAGAAAGAATTGGCATCGTATGCTCACAGTTTGGGGAAAAAGCTTAAATCTCAACAGGTGGGAAAGTCTGGAGTGACCGACACTGTCGTTACCGCATTGATTGAAACCCTTGAAGCTAACGAGCTTCTGAAGGTACATAGTTTTAGTTGATAGTAAATATTTGTGTATTTCTTTGTTTTAATTGGCTACATTATCGTGTTTACTCATCAGTGTAGTGATTTCCGTATTTATTTAATCTTTTTGGTTTTAGGGTTTAAATTTCCCCGTTTGAATATTGTAAGTTAATATCTGGGTAATTGAAAACTACTTGTGAATTCGCAGATATTATCTTATAAATTACTTATAAGTGGACGGAAGGTTGGGGTGTATGGGTTGTTGAGCCACTCGGCTCGCCCCACAAGATTGCCGGCTTGCGCTTTCTTTGATTTTTAATTTTTATATTTCTCTACGCCTCACACATGAGCTAACAAGCTCGCATGGCCAATCGCTGCTCTGCTAGCTGCGAGCTGAGCTGTGTCTGCTCATTGTTCAATAAATGAATTCTTCATTGTTTCTCCTTATCTTCTTATTAATTTAATCAATGTTCATGACAGCTTAAAATACATTCTAACTGTCCCATGGAGTTGGATGACGCTGTGAAGCAATTAGAGGAAGCCACTGGTTCTGTCGTTGTTAGTCAGATCGGTAGAACTGTAATTCTTTATAGGCCGAGCCTGACCAAGTTAAAGGAAGAAGAAGAAAAGAGGAGACGGGCTCAGAAGGTTTTTGCAAGAAAGCAACAAGCATTGAATCAATCATCTCAGGTTCTTGTGACATTATTCATTACTTTCTGTTTTTGTGCGTGATAATGTTTCTGAGCTTGGTAGCACTTGATGAAAATTGCAGAGTAGACGACCAATGGCAGTGGGAGCTCAAGAACGAAGACAATATGGTCGTGGTCGGCGTGGAAGTAGCAGATATTGAGGTTTTTTAATATCGCTCAATAACCTTTCTATTTGTTATTCTATGAATGACCCTTTACCATAGACAATGGGGGCTGAGAGGTTTTGACAATCGGGGTTTTGTAGGACAGATAGATATTCATAATGGTGCAAGAATTGAATCGTAATTGCATATATTCATGGGCAATAAGGTGTGTTCCTCAGCGTGATTTGTATAGTTTATATTGCCTAGTACAATGCATTTTTCTTCTAGAATACAAGGGCTATTCCTATTGATGCCAACCCTTCAATTTTTCATGAGGTTTCACAGAGATAGCTTCAATGGTAGAACAGGATTCTAGTATGGATACCATGTACAACTTGTCTATTCGGGATATTTGACTTCATCAACTATTCAGTTTTCAGCCTCCCGACTTGATAACGAGTGGTGTCTTCAGAATAGAGAATCCCATTTGGTAATGTGAGGCGTCGTAGTGCAATAGAAAATCGAGCTTGGAGAGAGAAGGGTTATTACTTATTATCCAATCAGATGATTTGTGAGACTATAAGGTAGTAGAAATATTGTAGCTTGTAGCTGTATTAAGGACCCATTGAAATGCAACGAGTGCAAACCAACACTCAGTTAAAACCATAACCGCTTCTTCTCAATAGCTAACAAGAAGTCGAATATTGTTAATGGATAGAGTTGGTAAAAAACAGAGTCGAACTAAAATAGAAATTTGAGAGCAGTATTGGACATGACTGAACATTAAAGTAAGATTTTAACTTTTTCGTTTTCCAAGTGATGTCCAATCTATTAGAGAAATCGCCATGAAAACAAAAGAAAAAGGAAAGAAGCGAAAAACAGAGAGTGAAGAAGGGACGGGAAAGGCTGATAGAAGGTAAAATATGGAAGTACGGGAAATGTAAGTCGAACGGTCAAAACTAGTAAACAAAAACAGAATATCACATGCTAGCAGTAGAAGAGTGCCCAAACAAAAACGTGCTCATTGACATACTTTAAGTCTCGTCCAGCCTGCAGAATTAAGAAGCATCTATGTTAGAATTCTGGTTTCTCTGCGATATTTGATATCCATAAAAGTAGACGCAGCAATAGTCAGTGAATAAACTTAGAAGACGAGCAAAAGTGATGTTACGGATAAGAAGAATCTGAAACCAAGAATGACGAATTGTGTATTCGCACTTCTATGTTTGTTAGAGATCACCATTTCCTGAACCAGTTTAGAAGAAATTTGGTGAAAGCGGGTAAAGGAAATAACAATAAGGATAAGACAGGGCCAACTTACCAACAATGTGCCTTCGAGGGTATGAGTACTAGGCGTGACACACAGTGCAAGGAAGTATGGGATCAACACCTTGTGCATCTACATCGTTTAAGATAAAACTCAAGCATGACAACTCCAGTTAATTACAAGTAAAGGCAATTTTCCTAATAAGAGAGTAGCAACCCAATCATGTACTAACCGCTACAATGAAAACTGTTCTCTTCTACATCCCAGAGGAGTAAACCAACATTTCGTCCGCAGAACCATATGTTTCAAAGTCATATTGTTAGTGTACATAACAGAGGAAAGAAATACTTGACCATTATTTTCAGGAAATTCTAGTGAAAAGAACTTCTAGAGATTATGTGAACCAAACATAAATCTTCCTGTCATCAATGCCATTAATAGCACTTGCCACTGCCAAAGCCTTCAAGGGAATATTTCATCTTTAAGCTGTTCATCGAGAAAAAAAGACAAAAGTAAACTCATTTAGAGGACAGATGAGTTTCGAGATCATAAAATTTTGGATGATAATTTTGGATCATATAAGTCGAAGCAAGTTAGGAGATGCACATTCAACTTCGAGTTACGTATCGCACCAACTCTTTAGCAATTGACATACTTCAAGGGTTCTCTAGAAATTTTTGCAAGACATTTTTCCACAGTAAATTTAAGAAAACCCTTGAATTACGAAAGGGAAAATAATTACTTCCAGCATGCAAAAAATGTTGAGTTAATTGTTCTAATGATCACTGAACTTATGTTTATGTCTTCGATTGCTAAGTTTATTGTGTTGAGTTTTGACCACTAAATTTATTAAAACGTTAGATGTTACTCACTATCTTAACATCCGTTTCAATTCTTTAACGCAATTAGTTATGTGGCTAGCAGAATATACATGTGGCTTTTCGTTACGTCGATAACAAATTGTTACGTCTTCGATTACTCGTCAAACTTTGAAAAATAACTTCAATTGCTCACCGAACTTTGAAAAAGTCTATGATTGCTTACTGAACTTTGAGATGGTCGAATTTGGCTACTAAACTTATAAAAATGACTTGGACTTATTATTTGTTAAAAATATGTAGTGTAACATATTTTTTTAAACTTTGCAAAAGGTTTTCACGAGATCACTGAATTTAGTGACCCCTGAAAAACTTTTTGCAAAGTTCAGTTACCATTTAGATGATTTTTAAAATTCAATGATCCTGTAGAAATCTTTTGCAAAGTTCAGTGACCATTTAGACAATTCACTCGAAAATGTATGAAATTTGAATGATTAGGGATCTTAAGTTAAAACTAATGATACTAGAAATTATGTTCCATGTGTAAATAAAATAACTTGAACAATTAATCTTCCAAGATGTTAAACTTTAAAGTCAATGCATGTACATTAACGTTCCCTCTTTAACTTATGTACGTGTTTGCTTTTTTGTTTACTTAGAATAAATTTTGAATTTTACCACATTTAATTTTCTACATGTATTATGGTAAAATATAATTCAAGTCATACAAATATAACATACTCTATAAATTAATAAATATTCATTTATCGATAAATCAATAAATTATTAACTTATTGATAATTTAATAGCTACTTTAAAACAATAATTTTTCTCGATCCTATTAGTATTATTATTTTTTAGGTTTTAAAATATGTTGATAAGATATTTATTACAAATAAACCTTTTGGGCTTAACCACCTAGCCATTTGCTAATTGTACGGACATGCTTGATTTACGTGGCATTTGAACATTGTCTAAGAGATAAATTTTAAATTATTTGAAATAAAACAATTTATTTTAACAAACATAAATATATTAAAATTCAAAACGTAAAGGAAAATTAGGTAGGTAAAGAAGTCAAATTTGGGAAGTTTCCACTTTCGTTTAGACAGGCCAACCGAGGAAACCATAAAAAATTGATGTCATTCAACTTTATTGATGTTAAACATCAATTTAGGTGTTTGTAAACGATTGAACATTTTAATTGAAGATATATGAATCATAAGGTCCTGTTTGAGGCCCATTATTTCCTCATTAAAATGAAAAATATGATCATTATCTATCACATTAAGTTATCATATTTGACTTTTTATCTTTCGCGTAGGGTCTATAACGACTATATTTTCATTCTCATTTTTACAATATTATAGCTCAAACGGGGCTTAAAAATATTCACTCCTTTAACCCTACTCAATTTCAAAAACCATTTTCCACTTAAAAGTTAGGTCAAACATCGGGTCAGGAAATTATTGCCAGGTCAAGAGAAGGCTAATAGAAAGTTTCTTGTAGAAAACGTGTTTGGTTTCTAATCACTTACTTTTGCCATAATTAATTAATTATTTGACCAAAATTTTAGTCTTACAAAAGAAAAATCAATGGGAAAGGGGGATTTTGACCGGCTACAAAATGTCCACCGCTTGTTTCATCGCCATGGTGTGAAAAGGGTGCAAGAAGTTGGAAATGCTTGTCACTTTGTTTGAAAATGGGAAATTCACATAATGCTATCCTTTTTAATTGAGTTGACATGTAGTCTATGAATTCATCGATATGTTGTAATAGTTGACATTTATAAAATATTACCTTTAATTGAGTTACCAGTGGAGACAAGAAAATTGATTATACTAATAAATCGTAAAAATTATTTGTCGTAGAACTTGATGTAAAATAAGATATTGATTGGCATTCGAATAAAATTTAAAGGCACCGTAAAAACCATTTTGGATAAAATTCACCCTTAAAATTAGTTTAGAATGGAGAATGTATACTATGCACTTCTAAACCTACAAGTCAAGCGTTTTACAAGTTATAAATGGTTACAATTACATCATTACATCCGACTGTCTTCAATATCGACGTCCATGTTAGACCATTTTTTAGTTAGGTGAATCCATGAACTAGTATTCCATTGAAATAGTTCTCTTAAAGTCACTTGTAACGAGGTCCCCCTACCACGATGTTTGTTTTGATACAAATTGTAAGTTTTTAAATATTACTTTAGATATAAACTCATATTTGTAACCGACTTTTAAAAGGAATTGATCAAAATACTTATAAATTTACGGGACAAACCTTTTACAAACGATTGAGAATGTAATTAGATCGTACCAATGCACTCTTATACTTCCAACAAGATCTCAATTAGTGTTCAAACGCTAAAAATATAAAAGAGAACAACAATTTCCAATAAAAAGTGATATCCTGATTTTAATAAGAAAATAATAATTGAAAATTCCTTGTTCGTGTCAAACATACAAAATTCTAACTCTTCTTCATCTTTTCATCTTCGAACTTTCGGGGGATGATTCCTTCACTTCCAACTCTCCAACCTCATTACAAAATATGAAAAATCATCTCGCTTTCATCGTCTTCTCCATCAATGTCCTTCATGCTCAGATTTCGTAACAACAAAAAGAAACCGAAAATCAATTAAAATATTTTGAAAAACTAATTGAGATCCCATAAATGAGTTGAAATAAGTATATATCGGTCCTTAGTAGAGGAAAAAAATATATTTCCTAACCAATAATCGAGAATCACAGTAAAGGTTGAGAATTATAAAGAATATTAATCTTGATGCATAATAAGATATCGATTGTTGTTGAAATAATTGATTTGAAAAACTTGATAGTGTCAAGAGAATTTCTAAAAATGGCAGACTTCCCACCCATAAGAAAGAGCTCAATAAGTTTCCACAAAAGCTGATAGTTCCTTCGTCGCATCAAAAAAATATCGTAAAAAAAAAGAAAAAAATTTCAAGAGAACAACAATTTCTATAAAAAGTAGAATCTAGATAAAATAAAAAAATATATATACGGTTATTTCTTGTTCACACGTTAAATGACTTTAAAGATAAAGACACGGTGGCAGACCTTACGTATATTGTCTAGGTGGAGTGGAACATTTTCTGGCCGATAATTTCTTTCAAAAATACGGGGTTGGTAGCCTCTCTTCTTCTTTTCCTTTTTTCTTTTCTGATTATCCTAATTATTTGACCAAACTTTTAGTTTCGTAAAAGAAAAATCAACAATCATGCTATACAATCAGAGTCAATGAAAGGTTATTATTTTATTATATATATATATATATACACTTTCAAAAATACGGGGTTGGTGGCCTCTCTTCTTCTTTTCCTTTTTTCTTATCTGATTATCCTAATTATTTGACCAAACTTTTAGTTTCGTAAAAGGAAAATCAACAATCATGCTATACAATCAGAGTCAATGAAAGATTATTATTATTATTATTATTATTAT